ATACTGATTGGTCTCAGTTGGAGAAGATTTGTAGCTTAGGTGGATGATTTTGGTGGTGTTTTGTTCTCTGAGCTGGATGGTTTGATCGTGGAGCTTTCATCGTCTCAGTCTCTGTGTGTCTTAAAATTAGATTTCTTGGTCAATTCCAAAATGTAACGAACCCTCATCCAATTTCTAATGAATAGTTTCACAGTAGTTGGTAGGTAAGTGCATAAAAGTCATTAAGAGTAAAATCATATTTTGCAAAGCTCTCAGAGATCGATATCAGAGGACCTAAACGTTTTGCTCGGCTTTCTGGTTTAAGCTTCAGAATTATAATCAAAATTTCAAATTATCGAACATAAGTGCGACAACAACAATGTCAGCTTTTCTTTATAAAGCCCAAAACTGTCTAGAAGGACTTCGATTTGATAGAGCTCAATTTTGTGTTCTTTTTCCGTCCAATTCAACCTTATCTCCGGTCTCTCTTCAATTTTCTTGAGGACGTAGATAATGCGTAAGTCGAATTACTTTCACCATTCCTACAAGACAATGATGTTGCATCACTCATGGTTTATCTACTACAGGTAGCTTAATCTAGGGTACCCGCTAAACTTGTGCAATTCCTACTAACTTTAGTGTCGAGCCTTTTCGTAGTCTCGATTTTGTCCTTTATTTAGGTGTTAATGTTCTTTAGAAAATAAAAGCATATGATTTAACACAGTAGATATTTTAAATTCAATAAAGATGCACCTTTTGTGATATAATATTGATAAATTAGTGTTTGGGTCATGTGTTTTAGCTGGGAAGCCATTTTTATGCCCATACTGTCGTCGTGAATTTGCAAGGGAATGGTCCTATCACCAACATCTACAAAAATATCATGATGGTAAGTATTGACTTATCTGCTTAGTGATTTCTCTGTTTTATCTATTGCATATTATTTGAATTCGTCTCACTGATTTTACCTTTCAGATTGTGTGAATTCTGCACCAGTAACTTGTATAGAAAATCTCGAGGGATAATACTAAATTTATTCCTTCCATTCAGTATTCTGTGTACATATTTCTGTTTTAACCTTATATATGTGTTTTTAATGGTCTAAAGACTCCTGTAAAGTAAAATCGTAATTATTATTGTCATTTTAAACAAGTTGTTCGACTTCTATTATTCTCGGTGTGCTGAGTAACTGACTTGGTTTCTTATCCTTATTAGCCGAGCTACGTGTTGCCTAAGATCATATCACTTTACTGAATGAAATTTGCGGGTAATATACTTATCCCTAAAACAAATGTTTACAGCTACTTTACGGAAACTTTTGTTTTCAAAATACTGAAACAGATCCAACTTTGACATTTCTCTTGTCAAAATATCTTTCCAGTAACTTAATATAAATTGATCGGACTTTATGTACCAGTTTGGAATTAATTGTGATTTTAACGTCGAGCGAGACACCTCAGTTATAATGTTGTGATGATTTTCTGGGAAGTATCAAGACATTTGACTCTATAAATAATACAGTATGTGTACGAAAGACAATAGTAAACTCCGGAAAACGAGCACACCATACCAGTTGACCAGGATGTGAATAGTTTCTTTCAAATAATTTAATCAGGCATATCACGCTCTATGATTCAAGCTCCGAGTTTAAATGTATTACGAAAATTCAACAGATAATTGTTGTAGTAGAGGAATCGACAAATGACCTTTAGCTTGAGATATCCAATCACTCAATAGCTAGATATCTCTCTCTGTAATAAGTGTACACATATCTTTGTAAATTTCCAAGCATAGGCTCCTGTTAAATTCATTGTTTTTCCTCAACAACACTTAAGGTCCTCAGCTAGTTTTTCCCTTTAGTCATTGTCTTCGGAATTCATGTGTTTAACAGTATTGTATTCAGTTCAAAGTACATCATTGACTACTGAAATTTAGACTTCGTGAGTACTAGAATAATGTTCTTTCTCTGGAGTCTGAATAAAAATAAGGTAATCTAAGTTTCACAAGATGCTTTTAAAAATAATTCAGGTCCATTGGTATTAAAACAATAGTGTAATAAGAGTACATAATGACAGGAAGAATTGCAATAATTAGTCACTTGTAAGCCTATTCTAAATGCATGAACAGGTCACATTTCATATTATCGAGGATTTGCGTTACGAAAGCCTATTACTTTCACTTGACTTTCAAACTGACCACGCAAGCATTAGTAACCAACTTTTCCTCACGAAAAGCTTAATAGCCATTCAACTTTGATTGTGTTAAAAGGCTTTTCCCGTGGAAGTTAGACAAAAAGCCATCCACAAATGGCTGTGTATCACGTATTATCTGACGGCAAGAGAGATATAAACACCAGCAAGATAATATGAATTAGTTATATGTGATCCGCGTCGACCTCAGAAAATTCCCGCACAATCATCACTCTTAGAGCTGGGAAGCTCGGAAATCTACAGGCATCTACCCAGATTTCCTAGTTTGTTACTGACTAAGAGAAAAAATTAATAGTGAAGTCGAAATTTAGAAACCAGCAGAAAGTTTAGGGGATTAGATCTACTGTTGCTCGATTCCCAAACAACGAACTTCCACGTATCACAGACTGTAGCATTATCGATTATACTGAAATGTGAAGAAAAATAGCAGGATGGTAATGCAAGTGGAATACAGACTAAAACCAATGCTCTAGTATGGTGTTCTTAATTATGTTTAGTGACTACTAAAGTCGTTTAGTGTGTCTTCAAGGACATCTTACTAGAAGATGGCACTATATACATCAAGAATATGACTTTGCTTGAGATTAAAATCACTCCATATCTTTCTTTCTACTAACTAATTCTTTCTTCATGTACTGTATCCTTATATGCAATTTTTCTCCTATATATTACCACCTTTGACCTAACCACTCCTATAAATCCTGTGTTCATCTTGTTGTGCTAATGCGGTATGGCAACCTGAACCGATGCATATATGTGCCTGGTCCTACGTTGTAGCTGACTGACTGTTATCCTGATTGTTGGTCAATAAAGTTAGATCTGTAAGTATTGCAAATAATGTAAACAGTAGTTTGTTCTCGAATAACAATGCAGATGTTTACCAATCGATCTCTGTTAACTACTGCCCAGTTTATTGCATTGAAATTTACTACTAACCAGATAAGTAAATAGTATGTAATCCAGTTACCTAGATATAATTATTTATCAATGGTTGATTATTTGGCAGACAATAAGGTTTGAAGTCTTATCTTCCTTGAATTTAACCATATCTTTCCTTTTCAATTATAAAGTAACAAGTAAACGATTGTGTCCGCAGTTATAACAAACAATCATAAAAATGCTCAATCCAGTACAACATCTGTGAAGGAAAAGTAGAAAATATGTCATTAATAATTAATGGAATCGGGCAATTCTATTGGAGCAGTAGGTACAAAACTACCTCAGTTTCCGTTTGAGTTGATTTTACATACTTAATGATTATTCTGCGAGTGAATGAGAAATTCAACGACATATAAGCATATCCTAGTGGTTACAGATCGTCCAAACAAGGAATCTTGTACCATATTTTTTAATCCTTATAAGGACAGGAAAAGATTTATAAGGGTTTTCGTATCGTTCCCTTTTAGGATTATGTACTTAAGGTTAGAAAAAGAGGTTCACTTTGAGGTTTCTACCCAAATTCAGCTATCATATAAACTCGTGTGTAGGCATATGATGCATGAATATCACTCAAAAAACGCTGCACTGTTTGTTTAGTTTAACTATGAAATGTAGTATCACAATTTTAATGCTTATTTATTGACTAAGTATTTACTTTTGATATTTATGTGAATCAATTGACCATAAATTCGAATTGCTTTCTAAACACAATTTAAAGAGCCGTGATTAAACATTTAGAAGTTCGATTGCACAATTTTTTATTTTCGATAGAAAAGTATTTTTGCCATCGCTTTTAACATTATGAGCAGTATATATAAGTAATTTCAAGCATTCTTTACTGTTCAGTCGCCGGTGTTTCCTTGGATTTTGGGCATCATCGTATTACGTTAATTGACTCGCTATAACTTTATTCTTTACAGTCAAGGAGTATGTTGAATAGGGTTTGTAGCGGTTAAAAATACTTGAAATCAATAACTCTGTAAGTCTTCAAAAGTCGATACTATCCGCATTAGTTCCAATTGGCACACCTTAGCTGAGGGCGCTTGGCCACGCAATTGCATCAGATCAAGTGTAGGTACGACGTGCTATACATCCCTTGCAACTACTTGCCAGTTTAGACCAAATGTTCCCCGACAAACCGATGGTTTTCGAAATTCATCTTCAAACTTCTTCATTTCTGACTTCTGATTTTACAGGGTTTTTATATTCGATTATAAACGTATTACTCTCAAAGGTGATGACAACCTCCGAATATTTGTAGCATCTTTAGTTTATATAGTAAATTACTGGATTGAGTTCTGGGTTGAAACCATTACTAGGAAGATGATTTTTTGATGGATATTGTGGATTACCAAAGCAAATGACCTGTGCGAATGATTGGGGTTCCGCTCGATCTAGACGGGTGTGATGTGACGAACCAGCTAACTGTAAGTCATACCTTGCATTCAGAATCTAACGGGGATTACCCTTTGGTGTATCAATGTACTATGGCTGCTTCGAAGACTGTATAACACAAAGGACGTTATTACGGAAATATATTAGTAAGAATGGGTGCAGAGAATATAGTAGGACCACTAACTCATGGACCAGTTTGTGATGTACGAATAATTTATACGGTTGAATGATAAATAAACGCTCATCTCAATATCTTATATTCTTATATTTATGATCTTCTTCAATGACAAAAATTTAGATCCAGTAAATAACTTGAGAACTAATTCGGATCCAAATGTTTAATTTTGAACCCAGAGAACCTAAGGCGTAAATTTACTCAATGCGGTACACTGCTTGGTTACTTGTTTTGCTGTGGAAGTATTCTAGGTAGTCTGTGGGATAGGTGAAAGAGAATTCATGACGCTTGGTTATGGATTCTGCTGCGTTTCACACTGTTTGAAGTAGAATCCTTTCGTTCCTAGTTCAACAAATTATTTGTTCATTTCTTGAACATTTGTGATCAACTCAAATTTGATTTCGTTTTTGAGTTTCAAACGTCACTTTTGACGCTTTGGACTGAGCATAAAGGGCCGAATAAATATTCAGGCATTGAGATATTCCCTCTAGAGCGTAGTGAACTAAGTAATCTGACTCTACTCATTTTTAATACCTATCTATCAAATTTCTCTTCTCAGATAAGCATAGTTCAGCCTACCCACCTTTCTAGCTAATTATTTTCTAACTCACTGTGCCTTTGACCAATGTGTCAACCGTGGCGTGTGGATATCGGATGGTTGTCGAAATAAGATGAAGCGTTGAGTGAAAAATCGCATATTGTACGTTCTTCAGGTTTCACTCCATTTCGAACCGTACTGTGTTCAGTCTTCCCCTACGTACATTGTGTAGCAAATAGAGCTACATATTTGTACCAGCTCCTATGTTGTTTACGTTGGACTAACTAAATAGCCATAGATACCCTCCTCTCCGTCTTTTTTAATACATGGTAAACTGGGTAGTCAAATATTAAATAGGGGGATGTTAAAGGCAACGAAGTAAATATCTGGCAGTTGTGTGCAAATGCGTTTGCTGCTTCCTGCACAAAAGGACGAAAACTGACAGGAAACCAGCGGTAAAGTACAAAGGAACAGTGATCTGCCTCTGTTTTAAGTCTTTAAAACAACAAAAAATGATTGAAAGTAGTATTGGAAGGTCTTATGACCAAAAACTCAGATTGTTCAGTCATCGAGCAAAATTAGTCACACGAAAACGTCGAATATCCTCTATTTTATAATCTAACACCATAGCAGCCCTGAAGTTATTGTTACAATATAGACCTCCGGTGTTTTACTGCAGGCCAAACGAAATGTGTCAAATTTTTATTAGTACTCCAATGGCTATCCGAATGACGCTTTCGGTTATTTCTAATTTTTTTTCTCAAAGGATGAATACATGCAAATAACCCTACCAATTCCGGAGTGCTGAAGGATTCCTGCTACATGGGTCCCTCCTGCATTTATTTTCTGTTTTTCACTACTATTATCATTTATGTTTTGTCGATTTCACTTCCCTGTGGTACTTAAAGAGTAAATGCTAATAGATATAGATGTATATAGGGTTCAACTCCGCCTATATTTCATTGATTAAATCTGTAGGTAGTGAGGTAGCTGAACATGTCCCATAGTATTTCTAATTGATAGGTTATAATTTCCATTTGCCCGTGACACAAAGTATAACGATTTTCTGTTCTGTTTGGTTCGTGTCAATGATACCCTCGTCCGTTAAAGTCACGTACATGCACTACCTTGAATTTGAACTACCAAGTCATAACAATTAACGTTGTTATGAACAAATCATCGTTAAAAGTAGTATATAAAGCAATTATATGATCTGAACGTTCATTCACTTTATGCTTTTCTTCTTTATTTGCAGATGTCAGAAACTCCCGACACACTGATTAGTCTTGAAGAGTTAGAAACTATGTTTAAGGATAGGTATACGGACAAGGATGTTAATTATCAAAACTACTTGTCGAATGCCAATGTACCACCCCCTGTCATACCTCATTGGGGTACTCTTGTTTGCTACTAAGTTATGACGAGTTTTAGATGAAATAAATCGGGAAAGATTCAATCATCGGGATCGGAGAAATGTAAGTTTTATTCGCTTGTTGATTTGATTCATTTGTTTTATAGGATAACTACAGATTCCAGAGAAACAACTTCCGACGTAACAGTTTGGATTAATTCGATTCATTATCAGATCACGAAACTTTAGGGTAGTTTTTGTTTGAATAAACGTTTATACAAACTTCTGCTTTATTTCGACTTAGAAAATGTAACTACCGTAATTGGGAAACTGAAAAATTTAATTCGTTCCATGAAAGGTTTAGAATTGTTATTTTTGAAGTGCTTAAGGATCGTCTTGTTGATTTGAACTGACGGTTCTATATTCCTTGGTATGTCACTGGTTATTTTGGAGGTGCTTACCATCATACTATCATTTAAAAAAGTTATTGTCGGTCGATTACTGGTTCTAAGAACTTTATTATTATGTGTTTTGATATATTGAAAGGTGGAACACTATAGTTAATAGACTTCTGATTAACCATATCTAGCTTTTCAGTTCTTCTGTCTTCAAACAAAGACCTGAATATGTTTTCCGATTGTTCGCCAGATTATATATGATTTTCTTAGTTTCAATGCCGGGGTTGAACTTGATAGATTTTTATTCACAAATTAATACAGTGACATGTCATACGAATTCGCCTTGACCAAAAATAGCTTGACATTAAAATATTCAGACCTATTATGACTTGTACTAACAATATCCCGTATTGTTTCCTTTGTACTATTTAACATTGCGTTAATTTTATTTCATTTATTTATTTATTCTGAAGAAGTGGCATACACTAAGTCGCGCAACGTCATAAATACAATTTTATACTCATTGAGATATCACAAAAAATATGTTTGTTGTATATGATTTTACTCTATATCTGAAGAAACCTTATTGATCGTTTCCAAGCACGTGAAAATATCAATCTTGCAATAAATTGTAATGTCTCCGGTTATTGATTTGATTTATTCAGTTAAGCGTAGGCTACTGATGTTGTTAGTTTCAGACAGTACGATACACTAATTTTCGTTAATATCGGGAAAACTTATTAACTTGTTGGTCCTGTCAGTTCATTCATTTCAGTCAGATATTGTTTACTGTTGGTGGGTATATTAACCAGACTTTCATCGATTATGAATCTTACTCTGGTTATTAACTAAAGGTGATTTTTTGTCAATTGCCTTTGCATTTATTCCTAACTTGACTTTTTTAATGCAACATGTAAACGTCCATTGTAATATGCACTCTGAAAACTTAAACAATCAAATTAATTTGAAATTGATTCTCATAGTGAAGTTATTTTAGCGAAAGAACTACTGACATCCGTATTTCGTAGGTCGAAACTCCTCAATGACATACACGTTTTACCCCATTCAGCTGATGCGAATTCGTGTTGACAATCGTCTTCAGATTATGCAAAGCAATTCACACAGTCATCTGATAAGCCAGTTCAATTAGGTAGCCCCAGTCTCTTGCAAGGACTTAAGAGTGTAGTTTACGTAACTTGTAAAACTTTATGTCAGAAACGTTTCAATCCATGATCGTGAATCTGTCGTGAAATATTGCCATATATCAATGCAAATGTTAAGATAATCTATGACTGTTCACTAAGTCGCGCAGAATAAAATGTGTGCGACCCCATGACTTATCAATATGCAACTTAGTGATTCATTTAAGTAGTATTCCTCATGTTTTAGACTATAAAGTATTGTGAAACGTTAAAAAATTTCATTATCATGATTATAACGAACTTATAAAAATGAAATAAATTCTCATTACCAGCCAGATTCAAGTAGACAATCCGTTATTATTAAACTGAATCATTCTTTTAAAATGGTTGCGAAAGATATTTTGGTGATAATCAGATTATGAAAAAAATTAGACATTTTTGTCGAATTTGTTAACTACACCCTTCATTTATATGACAAATAACCGAAGTGCATAACATAAACATATGTCACTTCATTGCCTTAACTTGTCTAACCATGTACTACAGCATGATCGCAGCATAAATATTTCTATTTCATAAAAAAGGTTTTGATACCAACATGAAATAATTAAGAAGAATAAAACAATGCAGTGAACATCTTTTCCGGAGAATGAAACATTCCTATATTCTGTAACCGTAAATCGCGACCCCTGAACTATTTTATATAACAAATTTGGGAGGTGATTTAGTATCTGAAGCAAGAATGAATTTTTTCAATAAGAATATACCATTATATTTTTATTTGCATGAAAATACCTTATGATTACTGCACCCAACTGCACCACAAGACAAGCCCTCACATGGGATCCTCAAGGCCAAAGTAAACGAGGAAAGCCAAATAACACATTACGGCGAGAAATTTAGACAGACATGAGAAAAACGAACAAAAATTGGATAGAACTAGAAAGGGGAGTTGAAGACAGCGTGGGTTGGCGAATGCTGGTCGGCGGCCTATACTCCATTAGGAGTAACTGGCGTCTTCCTCCTTACCGTATTATTACTATATTTGCCTACTCAATATTGGGTAATATTTATTCTCTAAAATGTTCTGTAAGTGAATAAGAATGTACATTAGTAGTATGTAATGTCGTGTGATTTTCCGATGATAATTACTTGTCTTATAATAAAACTTGTTTTTTAAGGCAAATAACTCTTCTTTGTCATTTCCAGGAAGTAATTCTCATATCTTATAATAACTACACCGTTTAGGCTACTACTGCGATTATCAATGATAATTTTATCTTCAGTCACCTCCAATCGATGCTCTTACCGCTACGTGAAACTTGGAAATTTGGATTATACTACTCACAAATGTTAATCAGTAGCACCTTTAGAATGACAGTTTAATCGCCAGATTGATACTACTTTACAGACCATTGTAGTTGCATTCTATGAATATTTCTTTTATTAAAAATTATTTCATCATACCTTTATTGACTGGCCGGACTTGACACTTTTTAGTTTTATGATTCGTCCATCTTCACAAATTTGTCGTTCGGGCCAAAGATAAGATATTTTCAACCCACATCAGTACTCATAATGTCGAAAATTTTGTAAATGGTTTTCGTTCCCATCATTGACCTATAAGTTAAATATATGTCAGCTATTCAACAAAATTCTGGAGACTAACGTCTTTAAGATTTCCCCTACTTATGGTTTTCACATTATCTCCAATTTTCTGTCTATAATTTTTAATATAATATTCGGGGTAATATCCTTTGACGTCTATCATCCAGTTGGTTTTTGAGCTGAGATAGAAACGTATGCTGACCTATTCTTCCAATTTAGTGTATCTCGATATTGTCACAGTTTACCTTCCAAAACTAATATCCTGCTAGTTTCCAATTTTTCCAGTCTTGAGTTTCGTAAAAAACAGAATGCAAAGATTTTGTAGTTTTCTTAGCTGGTTTAGTTCCGGATTTCGTATACTGTCTACTTGCTGTTCTTGAGTAATAGCAGTGCTGAATAAAATAAGCTCTAGCTCAGTGTTATTAGGCTTCCTCTTCAGCATACATTAAACTAATCATCATACAAAACAATTTATGATTGGGAAATGATAAGCCATTTAGAGGAAATTAATATTTCTTTCATTTATAACTCCATTAGTATAAAATAGATTCTTACTATTTCCATATGATAGGTCACATTTTTCATGTTTTTACTTGTTTACAATGTCATCTAATCAAACTAACACTACTTCAGTGTGAATCAAACAATTTTTGTGGACTGTAAGGTAAGTGATTCAGTTCCCAGTTTACACTAACTTTCTAGACAACAGCACAGATGCCAAAGGTTATTATACCATTCAAATCAATAATAATAATGAAAGAAATAATATGTGCAATAGGAATAAAAGAGTGAACAGTTTTTGTACATGTCTTATGTGGAAAATTTATATACGTTGAAAAACATGACAATATCTTTCACTGTAGGCAAACCCAGAAATAAAGGGCAATGATTCATCCAAACTAATGTCTACATCGTAGTAAATGTGTTTGTTTATTACTCTGCTTACTTCATTGTATGCATTCAAAATGAATCAGAAAAATATTTAGTTGATAATTTGTCTCTAATCAAATCAATGAATTATGGATATTTTCCTGTGGTAAATAAACATCAGTCAAAGGCAATTGAAGACCAATGAACACTAGATAAATATTTCATTCTAGTCTCAAAACCATTGACAGTTTTCACCCAAAAGCCTTTGATTGATCTAACTCATGATCTTCAGATTTCACAGTGCGGGATGGTACTTTTAACCCACTAAATTAGAATATACTGATCGATATTTATATCTTCAGTTAAGTAAAAAGTAAGTTCGGAAATGATAAGAGAAACTTAAAGCCTAAAGTAATTGGTTTTTTCCACAATAAAAACCTCAGGATCACGGTCACTTGCTGAAAATCATCACCATCCATAAATTACAATCGAAAACAGATTGCTTATGAATATTAGGTCAAGGCTAGAGAAAACAATGATCAACGCAGTTACTAAGCCCATTAAAAATCTTTTCCATGAAAATAGTTCCAATCCATTTGTTTGTTTATTGTTAAACAGGCACTTTATTCATGATCTAAATATGATTACGAAAACCAACAATCGATTTCAAAACATCCTTTCATAAATATTAACAAAACTTCAGTTTATTTCAGCATTCTTTTTCAACATCTTGTTAAACGAAAAGAATAGTTGTTTTAAAAAGCAGATGGATGCATTTGTACATCTACAATAAGTTTTATCTTAATCAATAATTATTCGTAAGATAGATAAGAAGGAAAAGAAGAATGTTCATTTGTCCTCGAATACTTCATAAAGTTATTTTACATGGTAAGCATTTAAAGAAAATCATTAACATAGATGAATTCATATTAATCTTACTAAAGTTTTAGTTATGGATTTATTAGTTTATGAAGAGGAAATTGTATGACATTTTCTGTGTTCAACGATGCTTTTCAACAAGCCATACATCATTTATTGGTTACTTATTGTTGATTGCTAATTCTACTATCATTGCTCTTCCTTACTTTTAGTATTATTAGTATAACTTTTGTACTGATAATATTGTCCGAAAAGACCATAAAAATAGTATATTATCAACAAATTCGCATGTGTGTATATCTATGTAGAAGAAGTACAATTGACGAGAAATCGGTATGTTAATGGTTAAGTTTATGTATAAGAAAAGAAAGAACCTTAAACAAATTATGCTGAAGTTTGTATCTGCCAATTATTAAAAAAAAACAGAATGTTTAAAAATATAACGATTGAAATTCATAACTTAGAGCCTGGGATAAATACACATAAACTCAAATTGTCATATTTTGCATTAATACAGAGATAAGAAATTAGAAAGATAAGCATTAAAGAAATCGTAATAGTAGTAGTGGTAATAAAAAGAGGAGTTGAACATAAGGAGTAAAGTATTTTAGGAACGAACAAAATCGACAAACCAAAAATGTAAAACAATACTAAAATTCAAGATCTAGGTGAAGATGAAAGATGTATATCTATTCTCTATGGGCATCGATTTTGAATTACATGGTCTAGCATCTAATACCACAGACTATTGTTACTTTGAAGACTTCAACCAAGAAATCTCCACTTTCTGGTATGCTTCTGACCAAGAGTCAGGGAATCCATGGACTGACTCATGTCTTGTCCCAATCATCCCCAACCTTTTACAAACCTACTGTTTTCCTAGTGGACATTTGTTGTAGTAGACGTTAAATGAGTTTGTAAAACACATTCTCCAATCGCCTTATTAGGTGAAGATCTACAGTTTCATGGATCCATTTAACGTTTTCAACAAACACCCATACTTCTGACATATGCATCACTAACTTTATATTTTCACCTAAATTTGTAAATACCACGAAGACGGTTATGATCAAATATTAACAACATATACATCTCATCTACCTTTAAAGTTTATTTTTCACAACCATAAAAATAGAGCTCTCAGTTATATATATATCCAGTGCTCAAGATTTTTCAAACCATTTTAGGTTTGTACATCTAACTGCCTTGCATATCTCATGATGTGAAATCGAAGCAACCATTCTGACCAATAAAAATAAAGTCCTCAATATGTTAGATGAATAGCTATTTATGTGTTGATAGTTGCATATAGTGTGGTAGCTTACTTATACATATGATAAGCGAACAAATTATAGTTATAAAATCTGTTGGCAGGAAGCGAATATTTTCACTTGCTCTGTTGAGTGGAAATTAAATTAACTCCGTGATAAGGAATAGTAGGAACTTATTTAGCTTAAAAGTCTTTGAGGTAATGATTCGAGATCGTTCTCTACTTCATGGGATACATAACTCACATTGTTTAGTATTTTCTGGACAGTTTGTTAGATTAATTCCTACTGAACATGATGAGAACTTATTACAAAGAATAATTTTCATTTGTCTATGTTCGATATACGTCTAACAAGTGTACTGTATTATTGGATGCAGATGAATAATATTTTCAAGTCAATGAATAATTGTTCGAAAACATATAATGTATAAAAATCTTTTTTTTTTTAAACTTCATGTATCAGTCATATTGTATGAAGTGATTCTTAAAGATGAAAATCGTATAATAGTCTAAATCATTTAATAGATTCCAAAATTTTAATTAACTTTCATATGATGAGTTTCAGATTGCATTATATAGAACATTTTTATAACTGATCTATTACAGGGTAATGACCATTGTCATGTATATCTAGTCTCTTAGTATTTATCTATTCTTATTGACTCAGGTGCAGTGTAGCTGCTAGTCTGAGTAACTATACGTCGGGTAAATTATGTTAAGATTTTACATGATTGAAGGGAACCCTCTAACCACCTAACAATAAATTATTTCAATAAATTCACAGTACTTTATTCTGATTACGGTTAGATCGTAACACAGGGGTTTAATAAATTTATTTATATAATAGCTGATTTCTAAGCATCGCTTTATGTTAATATGAAACACGATTTTCATCCGTTTTTTACTTCGGTGAATATGGCATTAACATCAAAACAACTTAGATTTTTCACAGAAATTTACTTCATTCTTATCAAAGTTTACTTAGTCCACATCACTGAGGAAAAATGCTGTGTGCAATTTTAGAGTTAAGATTTTGATGAATTCTAGTGACAAATTTTAAAAAAAACTTCAAAAGTCCAACACGGAAATACTCAAATCCAATACGATACAACATTGATTTTGGAAAAACAATACACTTGTACGAAAAATGTCGGGGAAACGGATAGCTTGTACGAGTGCTTGATCCTGTATCGTTTTCTAGTCCACTTGACTAAGACATATTAGATTGGTATGAAGTTTTGAGAATCGACCGAATTAGTCATTATTTATCTTACGGATTTACTTACTACAAGTATTCTTCGAAACTTCACCTATAGCTCTTCTAGGACTACCGCCAGTCCGAAAGCCGGGTAAAGGAGGAGGATTGAGCGTGTGGTCGGCAACCCCATCCCGTAGAAAACAACCTTGTCAAAAAATCGCTAACTAGTAGGTAAGTATTCTTCAAAAGAAGGTTACGATTAATGAATGATCAAGTGAAATCTAATTTAAGATATTAAAAATAATGCCTGAAAAACTTCACAGTTGAGACATTCTCAATGAAATTTATCAACTGATATAATGATATTTAATTATTACAATCAAAGAGACTAATTTATTTGCAGATAGTTTACATAAATTAGCTATGTACAGTTTATAAAAGTGCTCTCATCATCAAGTTATCCACTGAAAAAACTTAGGTTTACCGAATATGACATTCTGCGCCTAGAGATTCACTGCTAATAAAGTGGGAAAACTAATTAACTTTTATGAACGTTGTTTTTGAGCATCTTTCAGTAGAAACATGTACTGCTGATAACTTTATTGGAGAAAAGAAAATCGATTTTATTGTCAGTTTATCGTCAATAATTCTTTTAAATTATGAATTGGAGATAACTTTCACCATAAACTAAAGTTTTGAACTTTTTAGGAGTTTTCATTCATGACCTCATATTTAAAGGAAAGTAGATCGGTAAGTGAGCAAGATATATTTAAACTGTTGATTGGAAAACCACTAGTTCACATTTTCAACTTCAGTCAATTTGTATCATAATATATCTCTCAATAAATATTAATGGTATTCGACTAATGCACCTGTTGTCACACCATCAATTTGTACTTTTCACATTTTACTTATTATGTAATCTTTTCCATTGTTATCATTGACTTATAAACTACCTTGATTAGTTTAATAATTTCGTATATGCATATAAATATTACTGTATATTAGAGTAAAGCCTGATGAAGATCTAATCGAAAACGATAATTTAATAATTGAATTCATGAGTCAATTGAAGCTAGACCATCATGGAAAACCTGGAAGCAATGTAAGGCCGTTTCATCCTAGTATGGGACTCCTCAGCAGTACAATCCCGCCCCGCGTGATTCGAACCCAGGACCTATCAGGTCTTCCATAGTGGTCTAGCTTCAGTTGACTCATGAATTCAGTTATTAAATTACTATAATCTCCACAAAACCTCTCTCTGATTAATGATAAATAATTATTATCATATCAGTTCATTTGCGATTTTTTCTGTGGCCAATAATAATTACATTTCAATTTTTGGGAAGAAAAAC